TTTCAACAGAACGAGTCAACAAACAGCATTCCTGATACGAACATCCCTATCAACGTTCGCCCATTTTATAAAGACCAACGCACTCAAATCTGCCGAGGTCACATATATTTTGGCGACAAGTCGAAAACGTGCAAGCCATGGTGCAGATGGCCAAACAAAAAAAGTTTACAAATTCAACCATCTTCAAGACCTCCATCTCCAACTCAAATGAGATCACCCACAAACAACATTTCTTCGCCTCTTTTTGAAGTTGCCGCAAGAATTGGATGCACAACATTTAAATTAATAGTAGATACAGGCGCATCAGTCACAATCATCCCAACAAAATTTTCAACAGGATTATGTTTGCAACCAACTGCCGTTCACCTGTCAACTGCGAGTGGTCAAAACATTACCTGTCATGGAGAAACCATTATTGAAATCCACATCCTACCATTGCACAGAACATACAAATGGAATGCTGTAATTGCAGATATTGTCAAACCTTTGTTAGGCAAAGATTTTTTAAGTCATTATGAAATCCTTGTCGATTGCACTAACAACAGACTGATTGACACAATAACAAAAAAAAAACGATTACAACAAACGTTCCGTTCAACAAATTCACATCAATAAACCGCCAGTTCCCCAGATAGTAACAAAACTCATCAATAAATTTCCAATGTTGATTGAACCAAGAAATGAAAATCAAATAAAAATCAACATAAAAGTAAAACACATCATCGACACTGGTGAAAGCCAGCCAACATTTGCCAAGGCTCGCCAACTATCTGAGGAGAAATATAAAGTAGCAAAAGAGGAATTTACGTCTTTACTAAACGCCGGAATCATCAGACAATCTAAATCTCCCTGGGCTTCTCCACTCCATCTAGTTCCAAAAGGTACTCCTGGACAATGGAGAGCTTGCGGAGATTATCGTTGTGTAAATGCCATTACGAAACCAGACAGATATCCAATTCTAAATATTCACAGCATCTCAACTAAACTACATAGCAAAAAGATATTTTCAAAATTGGACTTATTAAAAGCCTATCACCAGATACCAGTACATGAAAACGATATTGAAAAAACAGCCCTAATAACACCTTTTGGACTCTTTGAGTACATGTTTATGCCTTTTGGTTTCCTAAATGCATGATGTACATTCCAAAGATTCATGGATAATATCTTTCTAGGTACCGACTGTATTTTTGTTTATCTAGACGACATTCTCATATTTTCAGAAAGCACTGAACAACATGAAAAAGATTTAGAAACAGTATTTCAAATCCTTAGCAAAAATAATTTGAGAATTTCCATAGACAAGTACCAATTTTTCAAAAAAAATCTAAATTACCTAGTATTCAACATCAGCGGTGAAGGACTATTTCCTACAAAAGAAAAAATAAACGAAATTGAAGAATTTCCAGTTCCAAATGATACTAAATCTTTGCGTAGATTTTTAGAAATGATTGGTTTCTATCGCAAACTCATTCAACAATTTGCAGATATTGTATTTCCATTAACAGAATTAATAAAGTTACACCCAAACTCAAAAACAATAGTGTTTAATAACGAAGGATTGGAAACCTTTAAAACCATCAAATCTAAACTTGCCAACGTAACAACACTTCTATATCCAGATTCAAAATGTACAAAATACCACTTAGTTACTGACAGTTCTGTTTACGCCATAGGTGCAGCACTGCATCAAGTAGTTGATTCAACTCCTGTACCAATTGGTTTCTACTCTAAAAAGTTAACTGAACCACAACGTAACCTTTCTACATTTGACAGAAAACTACTAGCAGCGTACCTTGCCGTCATTCATTTTAAATATCAGATTGAAGGAAAAAATGTAACTCTATTTACAGATCACAAACCACTATGCGCTGCCTACAAAAAGAAAACGCCATTAAAGTCAGACGTTCAAAAACGATATCTTTCAATAATATCCGAATACATTGCAGACGTCATTTATATCCGCAGTGAAGAAAACGTTGTTGCAGATTGTCTCTCTCGGCCAGCAAATGGTGTAAAGATAGATGTCTGTGACTTGTCGTCGATAGCCGAACAACAAGAAATTGATGATGAAATAAAATCATTCAAGGATCAGTTGAAACAATATCTAATTGGCGATAACAAAAAAATATTTTGTGATGTATCAACACCATACCCCAGACCATATATCCCAGTTAATTTGAGAAAAGCCATATTTGACAGCCTTCATAACCTCTCACATCCAGGTATCAAAACATCAATACGATTAATCAAATCAAGATATTTTTGGCCAGATATTGACAAACAAATAAGAACATGGTCAAGAGAGTGTTTAAGCTGTCAACAAAAAAAATTCACCGACACACGAAATCTACGATATCATCATACAATTTACCGTCTGAACGTTTTGAGACTGTTCATATTGATATTGTAGGTCCGTTACCACCGGTCAAGCAAGGAAATGAAACCTATTCAAGTCCATTCAGATATTTACTCACATGCATTGACAGAACAACTGGTTGGATCGAAGCAGCGCCAATGACAGAAATATCAGCTTCAACAGTTGCTACAACTTTCTTGAACATTTGGATCGCTCGATTTGGTGTCCCTCTTTATGTTGTAAAAGACCGAGGTACACAATTTGAGAGCGAATTATTTCACGAACTATCGAAAATAATTGGATTTTACCGTATGCGTACAACCTGTTATCATCCACAAGCCAACGAAAAAATAGAACGTCAACATCGTACTTTGAAAACAGCAATTAGTTGTCGTAAACAAAACTGGTTAGATGCATTAGCTGTCGTTCTTTTAGGTCTAAGAAACATACCAGATGAAAATGGTATATCTCCAGCAATAGCAGTAACAGGAACCAACTTGTTATTACCAAGTCGATTTTTATTCCCAGATTCAAATGAAGATATAACATCTAGTCAGATCAAACAACTAGCAAAAGAAATGTTTAAACTTAACGACTACCTAACAACTAACAATCAACATCACTCTACCCCAAAAGCTTACGTACCAAATGACCTTTCAAAAAGTAGTCACGTATGGTTAAGAGTAGATCGAGTACGTCGTCCACTGGAAGCACCATATACAGGCCCTTTCAAAGTGATTGAACGTAACGATAAATACTTTTGTGAACTTTTGCCGCGCGGCGAAATTTTTCCTTCGCTCGAATATCAACAGCCGAAGCCGCCAGTCTAGGCAGTTTTGCTTGTGGCCGGGACTCGCCTCTTCATAACTTTTTATTTCCGGGTCGGAAAATACGGGCCGGGCGGAAGTATTATCGCGCCCTGCTTGCTGGTCGGTTAATCCGGCCCTATTAACAGCTAGCAAGTCTTCTTCAAACATGTTTTAGTTTTTAAAAGTGACAAACCAAGCCTTACTGAAATAATTCTATTAATGAACCAATAATAAAAGAAACAAAATAATATTCTTTAAAGCAAACAAAATAATACTCTTTAAAACAAATGTTTCTAAAGTCAACTAAATTAAATGTTCTAAATAAACGAAAAAAAAATATTTTTACCAGCCGTAACAAATGAAATCCCAAAACAAGAAACAACCGTCCGACCAATGCAACCACGATAAAACCAAAGACTAATTCACAACGCTATTCCAAAACACCAAATTATAACACCAACTTTCCTTCTTTTTTCTACAATTGTTCAAAAGGTTTATATACCAAACAAATTCTAAACAAACTGAGAAACATTCATTCTCAACCATACTCACCATATATGCGCCATACCAACATTCAACCAACCTGCAAACAAAACCAATTCATACGACATTCGACCAGACTGCCTACCTGACCACATACACACTTGCGCCATTCATTCCACATGCGCGCTAAAAAAACCTCACAACATCCCCCACCCCATCGAACGTAGCCCCGAAGTTTGCTTTCGAAGCTCCTCATCGAAACTGGGGATGTTGATCGCTATCAATTCCGGGCCCCATCTGGACGGCCTCTTTCTTCCCTTCTTACTCGGTACAGTTGGGCTTGTTGCTGGTCTACAGGGAATGGCGTCTCGCCCTCGTAAACCTGGCCTTCCAGTATCCAGTCCACAGCGACGGTCTGGCAGTTGAGCATGGTGTGTCGACCAAGCTTTCGCCCGCTATTTCTACGTGGCTCGACATGGGCACTGACCCCAGTGATGTTTCTTGGTGGGCTTCATTGGGCAGTTCGAAAGCTATAAACTGATTCACCCACCGCCTAGCTTCGCTTGCCCGTCTTTTTCGTTGTGTCGGTTCCTCAGCACAATTTTCAAGTGAGAAGCTCGGGGTCAATGCTGCGACCAGTTCACTCATTGATGCCCTTGCGACTACGTAATTTTTCCATAATTCACTTGACGGAATACCCGGGAACGATAATTTCCAAGCGTTGACCGCTTTCTCCGGTGTACTGTTTTCTAAATACGGGATTGCTCGTCCCAGTGACACTAGCTGGCTATCTGATGCGCTGTTTCCCGCTCCAGAGCACCTGTCGAAATGTCTCTTGTGGTTGCGTGTCAACATCCTTCTCCCACATTTGCTGCACTGTTTCATCCTACCTAAAAAAAATGAAAATAAATTAACGAAAATTAATCAACAAATCAATTTTAATTTATTTATGTGGACGACAAACGGTTTAGCTCTGTCGTTTTTTTTATTGCCGCATTGACTGGAGGAATTAAATGATCCACTATATATGGACCCACGTATGGGCTGACCCATTTTGGAGATTTTTCTTGCCATGATCTTGGGTACAGGTCCCATACCTTGTCTCCCGGTCGTAGAGTCAGGACTTTGACCTTAGCATCATACAATGACTTCCAATAAAGTGCCCCTGTCTTTAACCTTTCCCGCGCCAATTAATGAGCTACTAATGACCGGTTGAGCACTTGTTTTACAAATTCATGGTAAGTCTCACCTAGGTTGGATTCTTTAGGTAATCGATACACCAGATCCACTGGCATCATGTTTTCTCTCCCTAAAAATAACCTATTTGGGGTAAACCCTGTCGCCGAATGTACGCTTGCCCGGTACGCTGCCATAACGTGTGGTAAATGTTCATCCCAATCACTCTGGGATTCATCTACAACTTTGGCCAGCATCGAATTAAGCGTTTTGTGGAATCGCTCTATCGCCCCATTGGATGATGGATTGTACGGGGATGTCCTCAACTTTTCGATTCCCAAAGTATGTAAAAGCGTCGTAAATGGTTTGCTTTCAAACTCCCTACCCTGATCTGTGAGTATTTGCATCGGCATTCCAAACCTCGGAAAAATGTCTGTGGTTAAGACCTTAGACACTGTAGCTGCTGTGTGCTTTTGTATCGGAAATGCTTCTGTCCACTTTGAAAAATGATCCAAAATCGTTAGTATAAAGATATGCCCCTTCTTCGACTTTGGATGTGGCCCGGTGATGTCCAGAGCTACCCTTTCCCATGGCATGCCCGACAACATTATTTTCATTTTTGCTTGCCGTGGTGGCTTACCCCGGTAATATCGACAGCATTTCTCGCACGTCTTGACAAACATCTCAACGTCAGTTTTCCATGTTGGCCAGTAAAACCTTTGTTGAATGGATTCTCTCAGTTTACTCACTCCTAAATGTCCACCTGTCATTCCTGTATGGGCAGTTAATAATACAGAGTTAGTCATATTTGCAGGCACCCAGGCCTGCCAAACCACATCTCCAGTCTCTGTTATTTCGAACCGTCTACATAAGACAACGTCTTTGATTACTAGGCGGTCCCATAGGTTCCAAAGCGTTTTGAACGTCCTATCCTCACTTGATATGTCGTCCCAGGGCGGTTTGGCAGCATTTTCCTGCAGCCACTTAACAAAAACCTGGATTGTTTTATCCGCATATTGACCCTCTCTCAGGTTAATAAATTCGTCTGCTTCTTTAACCTGTTTCACCGCTCGTGTTTCTGGTGTTTCTGGCTTGCAGCACTCTTTTTTACACGGTTTCCGAGACATGGCATCTGCATTACCATGTTTCGTACCTGCCCTGTGGATAATATTAAAATCAAACTCCTCCATTTGTTCTAACCATCTTGCCTGTTGACCAATAGGGTCGGGTGTATTTCTCAACCATGTCAGCGGTGCATGATCTGTTCTGATGGTAAAATGCCCACCCAACAAATATTGCTTGAAGTATTTTAAAAAATAAACGACTGCTAGTAACTCTTTTCGCGTGGTGCAATAATTTTCTTCAGCTCGACTCAGGGTTCGACTAGCATACGCAATTACCTTTTTTTTGCCATCCTGCAACTGCGACAATACTGCTCCAATAGTTTGCTGAGAAGCATCAGTGTCCAGAACAAAAGATCCATCGTCTAGTGGCATAGCTAAAACCGGTGCGGTTGTCAACGCAGACTTCAAATTTTCGAAAGCTTTTTGCTGCTCCAATCCCCAGCTGAATTTTTGTTTGTTCCTTAGGAGAAAGTTTAACGGTTTTGCCAATTGTGAAAATCCACGAACAAAACGTCTATAATATCCAGCTAAACCTAAAAATCCTCTAACATCCGTCAAAGAAGTTGGTATGGGCCAGTCCCGAACAGCTTCCGTTTTCGACGGATCTGTTGCTATTCCTTTCGAAAAGATAATATGCCCCAAGAATGTAACGGCTTCCTTGAGGAATCTACATTTCTCTATCTTGACTTTCAGTCCTGTGTTTCTTAACCTGCTAAAAACTTGTTTTAACCTAAAAAAATGATCCTGCAAATTATTAGAATATACAATTATATCATCGATGTACGCCAAACATGTATTCGGGCACAAGTCCGAAAGCACTATATCCATCAAGCGCTGAAAAGTAGCGCCAGCGTTACATAACCCAAACGGCATTCGTTTGAACCTAAAAATGCCTTTGTTACAGACGAAAGCAGTTTTATCCCTATCATTTGGATGCATTTCTATTTGGTGATAAGATGATTTAAGATCCAGAGTAGAAAACCACCGCGCACCTGACATCGCGTCTAGACACATGTCTATTCTTGGAAGTGGGTACGCGTCCTTTACTGTTAACAAATTTAATTTCCGGTAATCAATACAACATTGGTAGGAGCCGTCTTTTTTCTTTACCAAGACAGTGTTGGAGGACCAAGGCCCACGAGATGGCTCAATCACATCTTGCTCCAACATTTCGTCTACCTGTTTTGCGATAACTTTTTGGTGTGCCGGGGGATGACGTCTGAGTTGTTGCTTTATTGGCCGGGCCTGCTCTGTGTTGATCTTATGATAAATCCCTTTTGCAACTCCAATTTCTGTACCTGTATCACTAAATACATCCTGAAAATTATTTAATAACTCAGATAATTCACGCCTTCCTTCTTCGGGGGCATCCCTGGTCAATTCGTCAATTATGGTTTTGACGTTAACTAGATTCTCCTGCAGCAGTTGTTGATCCAACTTATTTTCCACGATGACCCATGAAAGATCGGCCAACCGCGTTCCCTGTTTAATCATCCTGGATTCGTCATTTACGTTTAATATTCTGACTCATTGACCCTCGTATTTTATCGGAAGCAACGTCCTTACAACAAATACACCCGACGTCACTTGCTTTGCCTCAGAACATACACAATCTGTCAATGTTAATTTGGATGGCTGGCGTACCACCAATTTTGTTGGTACATCTATTTCAGCTCGTGCCAAAATTTGCACTTCCACACTGGAATAGATTCGGCACAATTGCCTCTCTGACAATCTTTTAGTGACCAACTTCACTACTCTATTTTTGTTACCAACGGTAATTTGTGCTTCGTCAAACTTCCATGAGACTTTATTATTTACTAGCCAGTCTAAACCCAAGATAATTTCTGACACGTGGTCCGATACCAAAACCGAAGCAAGCTTAGAAAATCCACCAACCTTTATCCATAGTCTCATTTCCCCCTTTATTGGAATTTCTGTATTGTTAGCGGCCTTCAGCGATCTTTTGGTAGGTGTGACCCTCGCGACGTCAACCATTGAGGACGGGATGATAGATACCCTGCTTCCGCTATCCAACAAACCCAATCTTTTTCTGCCATTTATCGAAATCGGCAGATATAAAGTTTGATCATCATTTTCATCAGATTTGTTCACGCGTTGTGATTGTTTATTTGACTTTTCCTTCTCTGGACATTCTCTTTTGAAATGGCCTGATTTTCCGCACCTGTAACAGTTATTCTGACCCTTTTGATTGCTTGACTGAAACTTGTTTGGTATATTTTTCTGAGGACATTGGGAGATGAAGTGTCCTGGTTTTCCACAGCCAAAACAAACTTTTTCACTCCTGCTCCGAGGGACAGCTGACTGTACCTTATTGTCTTGAATGACGTCAACCGATTGACGAAGCGCGTTTAATTGCCACTCCACTGCCTTCATCCTGTTTTCTGTTGTATCCTGCATGTTCCTAACCTGTGGGGTAAACCTGTAGGATGAATAAACTAAGTTTTTTGAAACTTCAAGGCGCTGTGCAATTCGTAACGACTCATCAATATTTCTTGATTCCCTTTCTCTAACTTTCAGTTCTAAATCAGCGTCATTAAGAGCAAATAAAAAAAATCTCTTGTTAAATGTACCGCCAACTTTGACTGTTCGCCCGGGTAAGCTAACGACATTAACTTTTTTACCGTTTGTGATAATTCACGAAGCGACTCACCTGGTTTGCGTCGAAGAGTCTGCAACTCACGACTCTTCGTGATCACTCGTTCCATAACGGTTTTCTAACTTTGTTACTAATTCTTGATAACCTAGTCCCGCTAAGTCCCAAAGAACTTCAGCAGCTTCACCTGTCAACGAACATGACAGATACGCTTCCATGTCGTCCATACTCCATTGGTTATACATAGCACATATCTCGAACTTCTTAAGAAAAGTTTTGAGACACCCAGTGCCATCAAACTTGTCTGGTTTTAACAGCTCGTGATGTCGGACCAACCTGTGATGTTTGGTATTTACACTCGGCTGACAATGCAGTGATTCCCCGTGGTTGTCAAACGAAGGACTGTGTTCGACTTCTTCATCCTCTTGAACCATTCTGCACCTATTCCTAGAATTTGAAACATTATTACGTTTACGAATAACAGAAAGCCTTTGTGCTGGCGTAGGCTTATAAACTGGTAAAACTTGTTCTGGCGCGAATTCCGCAGACTTAAAACTGAAAATTTTCTGTGCGTCGTCAAACCCATTACCTGAAAATCCTGGAGAAGTTTTACAAACAACTGCCTCCGGTACTGACTGTTGACCTACCTGATACTTAAAATCTAAAATATTTTTGGTAGAACCAGCCCTGTCACCTAAAAAAGCTGGGAAGGTTTCGTTACGGCTCCTGTCGTGCCTGTCACCTAAAAATTTGGAATTAGGAATTTCACTGCTGTCACTGCCATACCTGTCACCTAAAAGTTTGGGAGAAACCATTTTAATTTTATCTGTGATATACTCATCACCTAAAAATTGACGAGGGTAATCACCTTGACTCCTGCTATACCTGTCACCTAAAACTTTTGAAGTAGAGACCCCACGTTGGGCGCCAATTGTGAAATTTTGCCGCGCGGCGAAATTTTTCCTTCGCTCGAATATCAACAGCCGCCGCCGCCAGCCTAGGCAGTCTTGCTTCTGGCCGGGACTCGCCTCTTCACAACATTTTATTTCCGGGTCGGAAAATACGGGCCGGGCGGAAGTATTATCGCGCCCTGCTTGCTGGTTGGTTAATCCGGCCCTATTAACAGCTAGCAAGTCTTCTTCAAACATGTTTAAGTTTTTAAAAGTGACAAACCAAGCCTAACTGAAATAATTCTATTAATGAACCAAAAATAAAAGAAATAAAATAATATTCTTTAAAGCAAACAAAATAATACTCTTTAAAGCAAATGTTTCTAAAGTCAACTAAATTAAATGTTCTAAATAAACGAAAAAAAATATTTTTACCAGCCGTAACAAATGAAATCCCAAAACAAGAAACAACCGTCCGACCAATGCAACCACGATAAAACCAAAGACTAATTCACAACGCTATTCCAAAACACCAAATTATAACACCAACTTTCCTTCTTTTTCTTACAATTGTCCAAAAGGTTTATATACCAAACAAATTCTAAATAAACTGAGAAACATTCATTCTCAACCATACTCACCATATATGCGCCATACCAACATTCAACCAACCTGCATACAAAACCAATTCACACGACATTCGACCAGACTGCCCACCTGACCACAACATGCGCCAACATACACACTTGCGCCATTCATTCCACATGCGCGCTAAAAAAACCTTACACTTTAAAATTGAATTGTTACCAGGAAATTTTCAAAATGTGTTAATTGATCGATTAAAGCCAGCTTGTTTATCATTACCTCTAACAGCCAAAACCAGAATAAACAACAAGAATAGTTCGACAACGAACAACAAACTTTCTACAACAGATTCAAAAAAACCAGCAACATCAGACACAAAATCTACTGAAACACCAGAAACAGCAACAACAACATCAGGCTCAACAACAACACAAGAAACAAGACCGACGTCAACCACATCGGAACCAACAACCCAACACTGCAGAAAAGGGAGGCGAATAACATTCAACAAACGAAATGAATATTCTTGTTTTTAAACGGCTCCGCCTTTTGTGGGAGAGTATTGTAAAGATCAAACATTCATTTATTAACTATCTTATGTATTAATTATTATTAAAGATTATTGCAATTTTCAATGTTATCTAATCTATGTTAATTTTTATGTCTTTGCTTCTCTCTCGACTTCTTCCCTTTTTGCCTGATAGCTTGTAAACGAAACGGTAAGAGATTGACGTGGGAATAAAGATAGTATTTTGTTACGCCTGAATTGTGTTTGTTTTATTTATTTTAACTCACAACAAGGTGTCTTGTTAGTAGCATAAGTTCGTACTAACAGACGTAATTGAAAGCCATTTGAAAACTAACAATATAGCTAACATCAAACTAACATCATTATTGTAATATAATCTTTGGTGGGCAATAATATCAATTAAATTATTCTTGATAATTTTTTTTATAAAAAGTTGTTTTTTAGTATTGTAGAGTTGTATTCCCCAGCGAATTAGTTCCGAAAACGGTTATGTGTTATTTAACATTATTATTTAATTAAGAATACATACTAACATAAGTGCACGGCTAGAGGCGTTGAGAGGCTAGTACGACAACGGTTCGTGCAACCGTTGTTGGATACACGCAAGGCTCTTGTTGTTGGGTGTTGTCATTTTTCTGTGTTTGTTTGATTGATTGTTCTCGCACTTGAGAGTGTATATTTGATATATAAATTATATATCTAAGATATAAGGGAAAGAGAGAGAAAGAGTAATTGATAATTGAGATGGCTAATAAGGATAAGAGTCTCTGCTGTGAGTGTAATAAGATTTTATTCGAATGTAAAGAGTCTGTTTGTAATTATTTGTCTGCTTTATATGGTATATCATATCAATTGGGAGTCATACCTAGTATATGGAAGGAAAGTGTTGTAAAGCTATCTATAAAAAGGGTGATAAAAAAGATGCAAGAAATTATAGACCAGTGGCATTGACCAGCGTTTTTTGTAAACTGATGAAATCGGTTATTAAAGATGATTTGATGTTGTATTTAACTGATAATGATTTGATTGACCCTAGACAATATGGTTTTGTAAAAGGTAAATCAACGGTAATGCAACTCTTGAAACTTCTGGATGATTGGACTAAGGCACTAGATGATGGCTACAGGATTGATGTTGTGTACACGGATTTTGAGAAGGCTTTTGATAGAGTGTCACATGGTATTTTAGTTGAAAAAAATGAAAGAATACAGATTGAATGATAGATTAATTACTTGGGTAAACAGTTATTTAAGTGGAAGAACATTCAGAGTGAGATTGAATGATAAAATGTCTAGATATTGTACAATGTTAAGTGGGGTTCCTCAAGGAAGTGTGCTGGGTCCTATATTATTTTTTTTTATATGTTAATGATGTGTTTAATTAGTATAAAGATGCAAAAGGCCCAGCAATGTATATGTATGCAGATGATGCAAAATTGTACAGAATTGTAAGCTCAGATGATGATATTGATAGAATGGTATTACAAAATGGGTTAAATGACTTGACTAGTTGGTGTGCAAAGAGTAATGTAAAATTAAATGAAAAAAATGTGTGGTAATGAAATATGGGTATAACATACCTGAAAATAATTTTCAATATAAAATTGGTCATCATACATTGGATCAGTGGTTCTCAACCTGTGGTCCACCTGCTTGGTGGTCCGCAAGCAGAGTCTAAAATTGCGCTTTTAAAATTAAAAACATACAAAAACAAAAAACAAATATATATTTTTGTCTTTTTTTTAATTTCATTCAATTTCGATCGCTAGAATAGATGGCCGCAGGAAACTAATAATGACAAAATTTTCTTACTATTAATCTGGTTAATTTTGTTTGTTTTAATCGCTAGATAGCACTAAAATTGTTGCAACATATTGTTATAATACTCGCTGTCGTAACCGATTTACGATGCGACGGGTTCAAATCCTCGATTGAATAAAATATTCCAAACAGTTATTAAACCTTATTTACAGAAGAAATCAACTATTATTAGTTATTAAACTTTATTTACAGAAGAAATCAACTAATCGTTTATTTCCAGTAAATTCAAACTAACGCAACAATTAACTTTTAAATCGTTCAAAATCTATCGCTATGACAACGTCAACAAACAAATCAAATATCGCTTTAAATAATTCACCGAATTGCTATTCACAAAATCACGAATTTCACTAATCACGAATATCACTAATCACGAATATCACTAATCACGAATATCACTAATCACGAATATCATTAATCACGAATATCACTAATCACGAATCAGCTTCTTGCGAGGTGCGCTTATATACTCTTCGCAAGCGTCGTTTCTAGATTCTTCTAGATGGTCCGATTCTAGCATACTCTAGAATGCTCCAGTCACTAGAACATTCTAGAATACGCTAGAATCTAGTGCGTTCGGTAGCACGGTTATAACATTACCCCCTTCTTAGTTCTGTTCGTCCCGAACAGCTTTCGTTCCGGTGACCGCATGGTACGGAGCCAGTCTATCCAAATGAACGATCTTCATTCTTGCTCTCGGCTTCCGATATTCCTGAATACGGTAGACGACGTCAATCAAGCGGGTGATGACTTGATAAGGTCCTTTCCACCCTCGCAGGAGCTTTGGAGAACGTCCTTTTTTTCGCTGTGGGTTGTACAGCCAAACTAACTCGTCGACAGCAAAACCGCCACTGCTTCCTTTCAAGTCGTTTCTGGTTTTGGCCGCCTCCGTGTTTTTCATAATTTTAAGGCGTACGTAACGGTGAATATGGTTTAATCGCTGTCGAAGATTATCCACGTATTCTGTAAAATCAGCAATCAACGCCTCGGCTTTTAGACGGTCTTCTTGATACAAATTGAGTTCATCCAGTAGATTTTTGGTAAGTTCTTTGAGTCTACCTTTGTCAGTTGGTAGAACCTTTTCCTGTTGCTCCATATCTAATGATTTCACCAAATTTATTGATTGGCAATTACCTATTTCCTCGCCTTTTTTAATTTTAATAGTGTGTTTAGCGTTATTCATTATTCTGACAGGAATAAGACCATTTTTGTTCGCTTCTACCAGGCATTTTCCAATGACCGCGTTCTGTACATTTGTCGTTGAGGTTGGCTCCATCAATCCTTGAATCGCAATTCAACTTGCACCATACGATGTTTTCAGATGATTGAGGTAGTTCTATGTCACAATCGACTGTCACTCGAATGCATTTTTCATCGCTATCCCCCATTATCACTTCTGTATTTCTCCATCTAAGAATGCGTTTTTCTAAGTCAATTTTGAACCCATATTTTGTCAGAAAGTCGACACCTATTATGCATTCGTCGATGATATCCGCGACTAAGAATGAACCTTCGAATAACAAGTCGCCTAGCTGAACAGTACGGAGAATCTTTCCATAGACTGGTGCTGTTCCTCCGGTAGCTGTTCGAAGGATGTATTTGTTAGAAGTCTCTTTCTTCAGATTGGGTACCAAATCAGATCTTAAAATCGATTTTTTTGCTCCGATGTCGACTGTAATTACACATTCTCGTTGATCAACTTTTCCGTTCAGCCATAGGTCGTTTCGATTTCGATGTAGTCTGGAAACGTTAATTACGGTACTGGGGGCGTCAATTCTACTAGCCAACCTCTGCCCCACAAAGTTGGCTCTTATTAGCTTTTCCGCCCCTTCGTTAGAAGGGGCCGATCGTGATACAGGATCATCTTCTCTTCTTTTGCGCCATATTGTCGCGCAATTTCGGCAGTAGTTATCTTTTAGGCGGTGTTTACAATCACGACGTAGATGGCCTTTTTCACCACAAATCCAGCATTGGGGTACACCATGCTGTTGATGTTTGCGTTTCGCAACCACCTTCTTGGCAAGGGCATTCTTCATGTACTTGGCGTAGACGTACGTCACTTTTTGATGCTTGCTTTGCCGATTCAAAAGCGCAACGGCATCCTTGAGTTTTCGTTTATCTGACAAGAGAAGGGATTGCTTGAGTTCCGAATCACGAAGGGCCTTGATAAACGTATCCAGGGCAGTTTCGTCTCTATGCTCGGGGTCTGATGTTGGATACGACAGCAATGTCAACCGTTCGATATCTTGTGCCAGCTGCTGAATGGATTCACCAGATCGTTGCGTTCTGTTTCTAAGCTGAGACCGATAAATCTGTTTCATGTGTTCTTCACCATAACGTAAATCCAACGCGCTAACCAGAACTTCATAGTTGAAGTGGTTCTCCTCCGGAATCGTCTGAAGAACCTCTGCCGCTGAACCTCGCAGGGCCAGTATCAGTGCTGTTGCTCGTTCTTTTCCGTTCCAACAGTTACTAGTTGCCGCTGCGTCGAACTGGGTTTTATAAACGTTCCAGGACATCTCTCCGTCAAATGCTGGTACCTTCAAAGTTCTTCCGGATGCGTGGTCTAACGGCATGGCCATTTTTTTGGATTGCTCCAATTCTCGCTTCAATTTGTCTATCTTGTGATCTACCTCCACGGTCTGACGATCAAGTTTCTGCTCGATCATTTCTATTCTTGTTGACTGTTCTTCAATCTGTTCTGCCACTTCCAATTTTACGTGTTTTAACTCCTCTGTCTGTCGTTCGGACTGTTCCTTGATCTGTTGTTTTAACTCTTCTGTCTATCGTTCGGACTGTTGTTTTATTTCAGTTGACATACTAAGCAGAAGTTCCATCATTTTAGCGGTTGTAAACGTGCCTGTGCTAATTTCATTGTCTTCGTCAGCACCATCAAACTTGAATTCTTCTGGGTTCTTACCTTCATCAATGAGAGCTTCTCTCAGACGTGCTACTAGTACTTCTTTGTTGCCACTTGTGACAAGGCTTCGTTTCTGTAGTTCTTCTCGTAGCTGAACTACGTTCAAACCACATAGTTTTGACATCGTGTTCTTTTTCTACGAGTAGTAATTCGCTGGTCGAAGATCCCACTTCTGACACCAATGTTATAATACTCGCTGTCGTAACCGATTTACTATGCGACGGGTTCAAATCCTCGATTGAATAAAATATTCCAAACAGCTATTAAACTTTATTTACAGAAAAAATCAACTATTATTAGTTATTAAACTTTATTTACAGAAGAAATCAACTAATCGTTTATTTCCAGTAAATTCAAACTAACGCAACAATTAACTTTTAAATCGTTCAAAATCTATCGCTATGACAACGTCAACAAACAAATCAAATATCGCTTTAAATAATTCACCGAATCGCTATTCACAAAATCACGAATTTCACTAATTACGAATATCACTAATCACGAATATCACTAATCACGAATCTTCTTGCGGCGTGCGCTTATATACTCTTCGCAAGCGTCGTTTCTAGATTCTTCTAGATGGTCCGATTCTAGCATACTCTAGAATGCTCCAGTCACTAGAACATTCTAGAATACGCTAGAATCTAGTGCGTTCGGTAGCACGGTTATAACAATATGAAATTCGTTTTAAATTATGTTTACTTTTAATCACACCACCGGAAATCTCACGTCTGCTTGTTGACATTTTAGCATTTCAAGTTTAAATTTTAAAGACCTTATAAAAATTATAGTACATGTACAAATAATTAAATTTAAAAAAATAAATGGATAAATTTCTAACCAAAAAAACAAACGAACAAAATCAAAACGATGATAGTTCCTCTGACTTGAGTGGCTGTGAAACAACTGAAGTTCTGAGAAAAAAAAGACGAACAACCGTACGACGATGTGATAAAAATACTTGCGTTTTGGATTTATATGTGTCACAGTAAATGATCAACCTAAACCACAGTGTGTAATATGCTCACAAACTCTTTCAAATGAAACAATGAAACCTACAAAACTCCAAAGACATCTTAAAACTAATTACCCTGATTGCTCAGAAAAACCACTTGAATATTTTATGCGTAAGAAACAGTCACTTGCTAGTCAAAAGGAATGCATCTCAAAAGCAACAAAAGTCAACGAGAAAGCTTTAAGAGCTTTAGTGACTATTCAAATTGCAAAAGCGAGAAAACCACACACAATTGCCGAGACTAATAATGCCTGCTGCTATAGATATGTGTCGAGAAATATTTAATTTGCAATTCAATTGGATGAATCGACAGATGTGTCTGGCCAGGCAAAATTAATGGCTTATGTGAGATATATTTGGGTGGATGAAGTTGAAGAAGATTTGTTGTTTTGTAAAACTTGCCCGGGTCATACAACAAGCGCAAAACTTTTTGCAATCCTTGATAATTTCATGACATTCAATGGCATCGAATGGCAATGATGTGATGGAGTGTGCACTGATGGTGCAGCAGCAATGACAGGAAGACAAACTGGCTTGTGGGAACGTGTAAGTGAAAATGAGTGCCGAGTTAAAGTCTATTTTTAATCAGGCTATAAAAATTGTTAATTTCATCAAGACACGTCCACTGAATTCTCGCCTCTTTGCTGCCTTGTGTTTAGATATGGAGCTGGAATATGAACAGTTACTGATGTATACTGAAGTTCGCTGGTTATCGAGGGGGAAAGTTTTTAACAGACTCTATGAATTGCGTGATGCTTTGAAAGAGTTTCTTGAAGAAAAAACTCCCCAACTTGCAGCTTATTTGAATGACAATTCATGGGTTGCTACTCTGGCTTATTTGGCTGATATTTTTGAACAGCTAAATAAACTGAATTCATCTATGCAAGGGAAACAGACAAACTTAATCACGCTCAGTGATAAAGTATCGGCTTTTATTAGAAAACTTGATCTTTGGAAGCGAAAAATATTGGAAGGTAACTTTGACATGTTTGATCAATTACACGAATTTACTGAAAAACCAGAAAATGCTGAGATTGATAAAACAAAATTGATAAATTTAATTTCTGGACATATTCAATCATTGCTGGATCAATTTCACATCTACTTTGGTGATATAAACATTCAGAATTTTTTGTGGGTATCCAGTCCTTGTCCGTTTCTTGTAAAAGCTGATTCATTAAATCTGCCAACATCAGAATTAAACCAATTCATTGACCTCACCAGTGGATTCTACATTGAAAATTTTCCAAAAAACAGTGAGCTTGATGAAGTTTTGGATTCAAGTTTCACATGAATATCCAGAACTGTCTGAGCAAGCTTTTAAAATTATTTTACCTTTTGCGACATTATATCTTTGTGAATGTGGATTCTCTGCACTAGTTTCAATTAAGACAAAATATCGTTCACGACTTGATGTTGAAGATGATCTACGTTTGAGTCTTTCAAGCATTACACCTCGTGTGGATAAACTGTGCTCAAATATGCAAGCTCAAGGCTCACATTAAAATAATTTGAATTTTTTTCTAATTAATAATAATCACTTTTTTGTAACCAAATTCTGACATGTATGCATAAATTTCAAATAAACATTGTACATTTCAAAGTTGTTTTTGTTTTTTGATTCAGGCAAAAACACACAATTTTCAGTGGTGGTCCGCAACTGAGACAGGAACTTTATAAGTGGTCCACGTCACTGAAAAGGTTGAGAACCGCTGCATTGGATAATGTCGATAGTATTAAAGACTTAGGTGTAATATTTGATAATTCTTTAAAATTTGTTGATCATATTCATAACAATGTCAGAAAAGCTTATTCTTTGTTAGGTTTAATAATTAGAAATTTTAAAGGTGTTAGTGATCCTTTTTTAAATGCTTTATAAATCATTAATCAGATCTCAACTAGAGTATGCAGCTTGTGTTTGGTCTCCGTGGACAGTACGGGAAACAGAGGTGATAGAAAGGGTCCAGAAAAGAGCAACAAAGTCGATCAAGGCCTTAAACATATGAAATATGAAAATCGTCTAAAATTTTTGAGCTTGCCAACACTGAAATACAAACGCATTAGAGGGAATCTCATCATGATGTATAACTTGTTTAGAGCTAAAGATCAACGTGACCTCCCAGTAATGATGAAAGCTGGGGGACGAACAAGAGGACAAGAAGTGAAATTGACTGCTCTTCCATTCCATAAGAACTTGAGGAAACAATACTTTATCAATAAATCAATTTGTATCTGGAACAATCTGTGTGTCGATGTTGTGAATGCTGATAATGTGAATGATTTAAAAAAAAGTTGGATACTTATCTTATGAATGCCAGATTTATGTATGATTGGAGGGCAAATGATACTTGATGTGACATTGGCTATTTGTGAGATTGGGATATATTCAATTTTTTTTATCAGTATGTATCGATATTATCGTCAATTTATTGATTGGATATGTGATTAATTTATTTATTTTTGTTTTTTTTATTATTATCTTTTCTTTATTTTACAAGGTTTAATATATTATTTGACTTATAAGAATATTAATTATTTTAAATTTATTCAGTATAGACTCATAGGTTTATTTAATTTATTGTTTTAAAATTGTCTTAGTTTTGAGAAAGCACAGGGACGTTTCGTCTTCGCCTTTGTTTAACGTAATAATAATAATAATAATAGCGTTCAATCATTGCTTCTCTGTTTTACAAAAAAGAAACACAACGGATAATCCAAAACGCATCAATCGAGTCAACAACTTTTAAAATAATTTTGCCAATTAAAGAGCTACCAAAGTTAACAAATCCAGATATATGGTCCCAGTACACGTTCCTGCGTGAATGGGATTTTTCATTGGCAGAAAAAAAATTGTAGACTATTGCCACGAAACATGGCGATGCGAGATGAATTCGTTAACAATTTTGTGTACAGCCAAACGCCATATTATACTGAAAATAGTTTCTATAGTTAGTTCTGGAGTTAATTTGTTTACACCATGTTTGTCCATTTTGCATATAAACACTCGAAGCCTATACAACAAGATGACGACTTTACAAATTTTAATTAATCAATTTTATAAAATATTTAATCTGATAGTTATTAGTGAAACTGGTTGAATGAATTGTCTGCTCCATTGATTGAATTAGAAAATTATAAATAAAAAAAATAAAAACTTTGGTATAGGAGGTTGCGTTGGCATGTTTGTAAGAAATGATTTGGATTTTGTGGTTGTCTAAGAATAAAGTGTTTAATGATGATTTTATAGACATGTTGTGTATCAATGTGCGATCAAAGAAATGTTACAATTATAAGTTTTTAAAAGTGATTGCCCTATATCCACCTCCTAATACAAATTTGATATTTTCTTGAATAAATTAGAAATTGTCCACAACGCATGTAGGCAGAATCATCAAACGTATCTTGTTTGGGACTTCAATGTAAATCTATAAAAATTAAATTCGCCAAACACTACATCATTTCAAAATTTACTTTTGTCATATGACTTTGTTCCATTAATTGTTGCTCCAACAAGAGTCACTCCCATTTCTAATACATTGATAACATTTTTATGAATTCTTCTGATGTCTCTAATAGTGGCTTAAATATATCGTATCTCTCCGACCATTTTCCAGTTATTACGACTTCACATTGTTCTAATTTGTCAACCAAACCCCTAACATTGAATTTATCAATTAGTAATATTAATAAAATTAAACTTTATCTTTCTTCCATCAACTGGACTCATGTTATAAATGAAAACGATATAGTAACTGCCTGTTCACTTCTATATAATATAATCAATAAGACCTTCTTTGCGATCCTGCAAGCGCAAAAACAAATAATCATGGGTTAGTGAAGAAATTTTAAACATATCACAGCAACAGAATAAATTGTTTGCAAAATACATCGTCAACTCCACCATAATTAACTTTAATATATGAAAAAAATTTATAAATAGCTTCACAAACTACAAAAGGTATGTTGAACATCAATATTTCAAAAATAAATTTTTAGATTCTAAAAATGACGCTAAAGTAAATGGAATATAATAAATAATATACTTAATAAAAAACTAAATCAAATAAACATCATCAAAGTCTAAGTTAATAATTTAGTAGTCAAAGATAAAACGAAAAAACGTAGCGCTTTCAACAGCTATTTCGTCAATGTTACTTAATCATTAACAGAAACTTGTAACAATTTACCACAAAATCAGGAAAACTCAAATCTAATCAATCCAAATTTGAGCAAGAAAAAACCACCAACATAAGACCAAAATATTTGGTAACTTTATATGGAAGAAAGAGAGATAGTGAGGAGGAGGCAAAATCCGGTGAGTGATGCGGAACAGATGGATAGGTATATACGGGATCAAAGAGAGATGGAGATCATTGCCAATGATTGTACGGGACAGATGGAAGTCGGGACCGCTTCAACCCCGGTTCTAGACGCTCAGTAGCATTTTAAGACAAATTCTTAAAGTAATAAAGCAACGGGGATACACAATACGGATGATATGGGAGCCATGCCAAAGACCCAGACATCAAAAAACGAATCGAATCCGGCCCTTAAAAAAACCAACATTAAGCCATGGCACTCAATGATTGAGAACCCTTATGTAAACGTCGTGAACTTGGTTCTGGATGAGGATACTAGCAACATACTAAACAAAGGTATTAAATTTAATTTTAATTATAGTCACACTACAAATTTTGATTACAATAAATTTATAACTAATGTTATCAATAAACGAATTAATAAATATAAAAAAGTTAAATACAGTGAGAAAGATCTGTTTCAGCAAACCACTGTAACAAAAATGTAAATAAACTGAAGATTTTTGAACAAGACCCTTTTATCTTAAAGTTCCTAGAAAGGCTGATAAAGAAAATGCAATAGTTATTTTGAACACGGGGGAATATGACATGGAAGCTACTGCGCAATTAAACGACGCCAGATACTATAACAAAAATTGATCTAACTTGAGAGACAAAAACATCAGATACATTGCTCGTAAAATTAATACTGCATACGGAGGAGATGTTGAACCACACCAGGGACCACCTCCTACCATCGTTGAATTGTGGCTTTCGGAAGTTTTACATATTGCCCAAAATACATAAGCCCATGGAGAAATGAGGAACCCAAGATGCCTACCGGGGAGGCCGATTATTTCGGATATCGACACCGACATCTCGAAAACAGCAGCTTTTATTGAATTTTATTTCAACGACCTTAGTAACAATCTAAAAAACTGCTTAAAATATTCCAAACAGTTAGTTGATACCATCAAGTACAAAAAAGTCAACCAGGATGACATCATGATGACAGGTGATGTTAATTCGTTATATCCTGAAGTCACAATTCTTGTGATATTTTAGATCATCCAGCAACCTGGAGAATTTTTTTTGTATCTCTAATCTATTGATAAACACGCTGAAATCAAGAGGGTACCCATATAAACTTATGCGGAAGATGCTGAGAGAGGTTATCGAAAGACACAGAGTGTTGGAGTTCTATAATAATGCTTGGGAAATGGGAAACGAAGCAAGGGCCCCTCCCAGGAGGATGGACAATTTTGGGTTAGTGGCACAAATTTATATGGGGACAATAGCCATGATTTGCCACATTCTAATGGCTTACAGCAGTTTAAGGAGAATCTTATTAAATTCATTAGAAAGAACGACATAAAAAGCTCAGTTAAGTTTATAAACCAGGGAGAGAAAACGTTGGAGAGAATGCTTTTTAAATATTAATTAAGGTACTGAAAATGTTAATTGGGTCTCACTATGGTATAATTAAGGTCTTTTATGATTAAGGTACTTTTAAGAGTAAATGGGATTTTAAATGAAATTGGGCTTAATTTGTTAATCTGGTAATATGTATTATGAGGGAGGATATTCGTATAAATATATGTAGGGTTATTAATTTTATGGTTAAATTAATGAATAGAATTTCGGGTTTATTTTTCTGAATAGCCAACATTAATTATATATATGAAGCTGTGAATGAAAGTATGTTGGAATCTAGGTAAAACTCTATGTTAATAATTTGAATGTTCGACTGTAAGTGTATATACATGCGAAGTTAAGAATGAATCTAAGTGCAATTTCATGTATGAACTTATATATATACAAAATTAAAAATGAATCAAATTATAAATTTATATATGAACTTATGTATGAATTTGTATTATATAGGATGTTGATTTAGAATTTTATAAACCGACAATGTTTGTTCTATAGCACCATCGGTATGGATATTTGACTATGAATAAAGGTATCAATGTGTATAATAATAAGCGCTTTTCATTATAGTATAACTGTTTCAATGTATGGCTATATATCCCGACGGGTTAATTATATGAATGTACGACAATTTAACTCGACGGTTTGGAATTTGGACAGTTTAACTATTTAACTGGTTTAACCATCACAATATATCTCGGCGTTTCGACTATATGAATGCATGGCTATATATCTCAATGCTTTTTAATGTAGACGGTGTTTACCTTGCATAGAATTAACGTGAGCATGGTTTTGCACGCATATACTTATTTAATTGAAAAGAGTGTATTATGCATTCAATTCATATATAGAAAAATTGTAAACCGGTCATTATTATATGCATTCATTATGTTTATACGCATTCATTATACTTATTTTAAATACATTGTACTTCTGTATGAATTTTATCTTACTCTTTCCAAATTTATTTTCATTCTATCTACTTGAACACAAGTTTTCTTGCAGTTATAATTTTAGATTGTTGTACTGAATCCCTGCATTGTTACTTAAATATTTAGACATATAATTTAATCTTAAATACGTAATTCTTTTATTACTTTCATCTCTTTTTTGCACATTAAAAATAATATAATTTCGTTAACACAGTTTTAAACTTTATAAATTTACTGGTTATATTTAGTTATTCATCTCGCACTATTCACAAGTAAAGATAGGTCTTGTTTTAATAGAATTTTTTAAAAATACGCTTGAATATTGATATGTCTATTCACAAGTAAAGGTAAGTCTCGTTTTAATTGGATTATATTTTTAAATACGCTTGAATATTGATATGTCTATATTGCATTTTACTCATTTGCATTCGGTTTCTTATAATTGCCATTTTAGAATGTTTTGTGTATTATAATTTTAAACATGGTTAAATTTTAATAGGCTTATATGTTATCTTGGAATATTTTCTTATAATTTCTGGATTGATATTTTATATTGCAATTTTCTTATTAGCATTTTGTCGTTTGCAACTGCCATCTTGCAACTTTTTATGTACATAGCCTATGGTTGCAGATATATCCTCCACACTCCCCGTAACATTACAACCAATGTCCTCAACCTATCACAACACAACATAACAAAATATCATGCAAACATCCTCAGCAAAGGCCTAGGATTTGTTACTACACCAAAAAAATTAAGAACGGCTGAAATCACGGATAGGATTAGTAAGTTAATTAGGGATATAAAGATTTAAGATTTTTTTTAACAATAATAAAGAAGTGAAGAACAACACAACACCATACTTAAACGAGTACGGCAAATATTTCAAATCAAAATGGCACCCGCCACAATCAAAACTAACGAATAACTGCAAAGCAGCGATCAAAGAAATCAATGAACTCAAGCATAAATTCACAGCGTATAATAAATACGACTTCATAAAAACTAATATAATCAAATCAAACATCAACAAACTCGAACTTAAAGCGCTTCTAGAATTAAAAAAATGACGACATAATAATAAGAAGAGCTGACAAAGGAAGCGTATTTGTGATATTACAAAGAAACAACTATGTGAAAGAAGCAGAAATACAACTAAATGATGTAAATTTCTATAAGAAGATACCCAAACCCATCAACAACACACACAAAATCACTAACTTACTACTTAAATATAAACGTTTAAAAATAATAAATAAAAATTTTTTACAGCACTCCCAAAGGAAAACACACCCAAAGGAAGACCCATCGTGAGCGACATTGGTTCAATCAACCAACCACTGTCAACATTCGTAGAAATACAACTGAAGCTCATGTTGAAAAATCTACGATTCGTAGTCAAAGACACAAACGCATTCGTAAGAAAAATATCAACAACATTCACCTACGAATAGCAGATACTAGTCACGGCGGACGTTTCAAGTTTGTATACGAACATGCACAACCAGAGATCCGTAGAAATCACCAGACAAGCACTAGTCAACTACAATAGAGACATCGACGATATATTTTTTGCATTCAACGGTACGAATACGGTATTAGAAAAACTAATAGCAAGAGCTAATGATTTAATAGCTGGCATTAAATTGAACTTTGAACACGGCACCGTTAGCATTGACTTCCTCGACGTAACAATATACAAAAACATTAATACATCACCATTCCTCCTCACCAAATCACCCTTCAAAAAAACTAACACATTCGATCTCCTACACCATCACTCATTCCACCCACCACACATATTTAGATCAATTGTACACTCACAATTCATCAGATACGCAAGCATCTTCTCAGAATTTTCCTACTTCAAAGAGGCCAGCTTCAAACTAATAAATAAATTAAGAAGGAGGGGATACAAGATACAAAAAATGAAGAAACAGTTCAAAAAGATATGCGAACGACGTGCGGAATTGAAACCAATACACTAAAGATTCCCCCCAAACAACAATAATAGCAACACAGAGAACAAATAAACAGAGAAATTCATATTAGTAAGACCATATTGTCCATCCATTAAATCGATTCATGAAAAAATAATATTAATAATGTTAAAAAATAATATAATAGGGAATGAGAGAGAAACAATGTACGCCTGCAGGATACAAAGAAACCTCAGCAGAAACCTATTCAAACACTAAAAACAAGAATAACTACAACATAACGCACACACACACACACACAGAAAGAGAGAGAGAAAGAGAGAGAGAGAGATAGAAATGTGGCGTTTTAACTTGTAAATCAACCCACCATTAACTTTGCGATCTCATAATCATCGCATACGCACTCGCATCAAACTTTCATTAACGATCGATCGATAAGCGATCGCACAAACAAGAATCACAGCCATCACCTAAACAATCCTAATAAAACATGACTACTAATATCTCCAATAATAATTTTATTTACAATATATTAAATTTTATCTTCATCATTACTAACAACTTACTGTATATATATTATGCATGTTTTATTTTAAAATTTCATTATTTCTTCTTAATTTTATGTTTGTATATATATATATATATATATATATATATATATATATATGTATATGCATATGTATGTATATATTTAAATATTATACATTCTATAATATTCCAAACCACACATAATTTTCAACCATGCATAATATTTAGATACATATACACACACTAATTAATATCCTATCATCGATAAGATCATACACACCCAACGGGCATACATATCACATAAGATAACTTAATATTCCATTGTCTACAAATACAGTATAATGTAATTCAACCACATAACCACACAAACACACCTCCTGATATTGATCCTACAAGATCTGAATATACCCACTCGCCCATTTATATACTCATCCTGATGAAGCCTAACTGGCGAAACGTCGATGATTTATGTTTATATTGAATAAAAAGTTTTTATTTGATAAAATAAAGTCTTGATTTTATCTCGAAAATTTGATTTTGCTAGCGTCGTTGAAACAAACGTATTAAGGTATCTTAACTTATAATTTTGTGGTAACCCTATCCTTGACCCTAACCCTAACCCATTATGCCCATAAACCTTTCCAGGGTAGGTTGGTACTCATACCACCTACACCACACACCCCGCATATATCACACACCCCATATACAACACACACCCTACATTTAATTTTACTGTATGAAACTGTATACAATAGACCAACCGCCATTTGGCCTCATTGCAAAGGTTCAAATAATCCCATTTAATGTTAGGCTACGGCCCTTGGTTTAGATTTTAGACAATGATAGTTTAATATTGTTTAATGTTCCATTATAATTTTCACAACTATCATATTTTGTCATTATGTATCATAGGTATTACATATAAAATTTCCCTTTTATGTAGGACGTTGTTTATTTTCACATCACTAGATATATTCTATATTATTAGATATATTTTTAACTCAGTGTTTGGATTTCAATTTAGATGTGTTTGTGTTCTACACTTGTTTGCGTTCTGCACTTGTTTGTAAGTTGATTTATGTTCATTATTTTCTTTATACATCGTATTTTGGCTTTATGTATTATATTTCGTTTTAAATGTTTTTATTTTTAAAAAGGATTTTTTATGTGAATTCCCTCGACATTTGTTTGCATTTCGTGTTTTTTACCTTTTTTTTGATCATTAATATATTATGTTTTTTTATTTTCGGTTTTTGTTAATTGCAATTTTTTATGTGACTCTGCATTCATCTAATCTACATTTTATTTATTTGTATTTCATTTTATTTTGCCTGCATAATTATATACATATCGTTGGTCTTCTATGTAGTCCTGCATTTGATACCTGCAACTGATGCCTGTTTGGCACTGTATATTCATTGAAGGATTATATACATTTGGTTGTTCGTTTTGATGATTGTGCGTTTGATATCAATAGTTTCCCATTTTAATTTTGTACTTTTTTATACCACTAGTGATAATACTACAATTTTATTTAATGTATTTTAGTAGTCCTAACACTGCATAAGACTACATGATATTATTCAATTTACCACTGTTTGCGTCTGTTTTTAAATTTACATGAGTGTATTCAATGTTTCCTATCATTCAATTTTGCTTATGATTATGTGCTATATTACTATATTTAATGTACCATTTTTTATTCCAGTAGTCCTAATACTGCATGATATTATTCAAGTTGCTACTTTATTCGATGTTCCTTTTTTCGACTATGCTTATAACTGTGATTGTGACGATATATTACAGTGTACGATATTATTACCTTGTTTTTATCATTACATAATACTTCATATGACTGATTATGACTATATGCTATATTACAATGTGCGATAGTTTATCCTAAACGTATCACTACATGACACTTTATATATTTTTACCCCTTGCAGCCATATCACCTGATGAGGATTTAGTCCGAAACCGATTGTGAGGCAAATAGGGGGAAGTAATTTTAGGAAAATATTCAATTGTTGAAATATTTTTTAATACAATATCTATCTTAAATACTTATTTGTTACAATACATTTTGAACGTTTATAGTAATAACATTTGAAAAAATAACCTTGTGTCGATTAATTAAAAAATTTAGTTAAAAAAAATTCATCTAGTTTGGCCACGGTGTTCTGCCCAAGTCGTAGTACTATAAGCCCACTTCGATTTCTATAATTAATCCCATATTTTGTCAAGGTTGTGACTTTGGTGAGTGGGAACCCAGAATATAGGGTGTAGACCTGTTTAAAGGATATAATGATAGTCGAGTTGATTGAAGTCACCCCCAATGATGAGTTTTGAGTTGCTCTCCAACGCAATGTTAGAAAGTTTATCGAGAAGAGACTTCGTATAATAGATGAATTGGTGGATGATAGATGGCGCAGATGAAGTATGGTTCACTGTCAATAATGTATTTGAGACAAAGGATTTCCGGTGCATCATTGATAGCATGAGGCGAAATGATGTGAATTTGAGATGAGATGGATGTCTTCAAATAAGTGACAATGCCTCCTGCTTTTCTGAATGGTGTGTAGCCATTTATTGCGATCAAACCATCAGGGTGGTCTGGCCTAAGCCATGACTTGGTGATAATGATGATGATGTCAGGGTGGAGATGATATACATCACATTTCAAATGCTCAATAGCATGTAGCTTGACAATGCTAGTGACATTTAAAATGTAGATGGAAAGTGGATGATGACATGGAGTGATTTTGGCTGAGTTTGATGTTGATGAGATTGGGATGATTAGATGAGGAGCGTCTACTGGGTTGGTTGCTTCTTTTACTGGTTGATGAAACTACTACTGGTATTGTTGATGATCAATTTGTGCTAGGTAGATGGGTAGGGGGTGTTGATGTTGAAGTTGTTGTAGAGTGCTGTTGCGATTGAAAAAAAGAGGAGAAGTGTTGATGTAGGTGATGATCTGGGTTCCAAATTTTGTTGAGGAAAAGAGTTTTTCTTAGCGGTCTTTTGATGGCGAATTTGTCGGGCAGAAAATCAAGCAGTTGTTGGCGTGTGTATTGAATCATTCGATTGAGTATGTGAGCAATAATTTGTAACGAGTGGATCAAAGTAAAAACGGATTGAAGATTGCTACAAGCCACTGTAAGTGTATGCACAGTGAGGCATGGCTGAAAAGAGAGAGAGAGCTTAAGTATATTTTCGCTCAGACATTTATGTGAAATGCTGTAAACATGCACACACGTTAAGTATATTTTCGCACCGACATATAAGTAAAATATTTATAATAGACTTATAGACAAGTTCGCACATATAAATATTTTATATATGGTATATATATATATTTGTATTTGATGACTTGCCCCTCCAGAATGGCATCAGAAGCGATATATATATATATATATATATATATACATACGTCTATGTAAAATATTAACAGAAGAAAATTTAATTTAAAAATACTTCCCTTAATTCGATCACTTTTTCTTCATTACAGTTAACGTAGTATATGAACACCTAGGTATTTCTAAAAAAATCTGGAAAATCAGGGCTACCAGATACTCAATTTTCAAAAAACCCTCTCCGAGTCAACAAAATTAATTAATTTAAAAATACTTCCCTTAATTCGATCACTTTTTTCATTCTACAGTTGACGTAAAATATAAATACCTATATATTTCTGAGAAAAAAAATCCGGATAATCAGGGCTACCGGATACTCAATTTTCAAAAACCGTTTCCGGGCCAAACAAATTAATTAATTAATTAATTTAAAAATACTTCTCTTAAATCGATCATTTTTTCCTTCCCACAGTTGACGTAGAATATATATACCTATGTATCCAAAGTTGCGGGAACCCGTCGCTAATTTTGTAGTCGGGATAAAAAATAAATTGCGCTTGGTTGATCGGAAGGAATATTTTGAAAAATGAGATTTGTATGATTTCAATCTATCAATAAGATAGGGAGGTGCTGCATTATTGACACGTTTAAACATCAAAACTGCTAACTTGAAGAAAACACGTTTTTCAACCCTCAACCAGTGGAACTTATTCAAAATAGGCGTAACATGATCGAACCACGAACCACCCAAAACCAGCTTGGCCGCACGATTCTGTATTGACTAAAGCTTTGAAAAAGACCTTTTGGTGACACCATAAAAAAGACTATTGCAATAGTCCAGTCTGGAAAAAACGAAAGAGGAAATCAGACTTTGAAGAACAGACGTGTTTAGTGATTTTTTGACATTGCGTAATAAACGCAGTTGGTTGGAGCAGACCCTCACTAAATTATTAATATGTAAATCCATCTTTAGGTTTGAGTCAATAACAACTCCAAGACTACGGACAGATGTGGAAAATTCAATGATGTCATTGCCAATACAAATTGATGAAATTTTGACCTTTGACAGCTGCTGCCAATGAACCAACCGGTAATTTTTGTGTTTTAGATTGATTTAGCTTTAACTGATTTATACTCATTTAAGAGCTAATTTTGATAAGACAATCAATCAGTATATTCAGAAAAGTATCAATCGAATCAACAGGACAAGATACCAATAACTGAATATCATCAGCAAAGACATGGGAGCTGAACTCATATTTTTGAATGATATCAAAAACATCAGCAGCGTACATAAAAAACAACAGAGGTCCAAACACAGATTCCTGGGGAGCACCAAAAGATAGTTTGCTTACGTCAGAGAGAGTGTAGTTGTAAGAAACCTGCTGGGTGCGGCCTAAAAGATAGGAAGAGAACCATGATAAGACTGAATCAGAGAGAAAAAAATTTGTGGAGAGTTTATACATGAGACAAGCATGATCGACACAATCAAATGCAGCACTCATATCAAGTAATAACAAAAAAGAAACGCATTGGCTGTCAATTGAAGAGAACAACTGGGAGAAAATATCCATGAGTGCAGTTTCTGTGGAAAAATATTGGCGATGGCCAGATTGGTTCTTTGGTAACAAATAGTTTATTTTTAATGCTGTAACAATTCTTTGATAACAACTCGTTCAATGACTTTAGAAATGAATGAAAGATTAGAGATAGGACGGTAGTTTGATAAAACGTTGTCCAAATTTGATCTTTTTAGAAGTGGGATTACAATAGCATGTTTCAAAAGGGGTAGAATATATATACTTATGTATTTCTAAAAAAAATCCCAAAAATCCGGGCTACCGGATGTTCAATCTTCAAAAAACCGTTTCGGGGTTAACAAATTAATTAATTTAATTAATTTAAAAATACTTCCCTTAATGCGATCATTTTTTCTTCTTTAAAATTGACGTAGAATATAAATATCTTTGAGCTTTTGAAAAAAAAATCCCGAAAACCCAGACTACCAGATACTCAATTTTCAAAAAACCGTTTCCAGGGTTAACAATTTATTATTTTAAAAATATTCCTTTAAACAGCTCACTTTTTCCTTTTTACAGTTCACGAAGAATTTGAATACCTATGTATTTTAAAAAAATCCCAAAATCCGGGCTACTGGACATTCAATCTTCAATAATCGTATCCGGGGTTAACAAATTAATTAATCTAGTTAACTTAAAAATAATTCATTTAATTCGATCACTTTGTTCTCTCTAAAATTGATGTAAAATATGAATACCTATGTATTTATAAAAAAATTCCCAAAAACCGGATTACTATGATTATTAAAGTTATTCAGTTATGATTTTGTCATGTGCAAACAGTTATTAGCAATTATAATGGCATTTTTTCTTTCCTCTTCTGTCTGATATGTTTTCATATTGTTTTGATGTCTTAATACAGAGGTTGGTAAACTTTTTGCTGTGAGGGCCGCATAAGTACTTAAATTGCAAATTTTTTCGACCCGGTGGAGAATTTTTTTAAGATTTGGGGCTCCTTTTGTGACGAACAAGGCCTTGCGGGACGCCCACGCCCTGCCCACTCTTGTCTTAATATGTATAAGCATAATGTTTAATTATATTTAATTAATTAATTAATTAATTAATAGGAAGTTTGATTAGATATGTAAAATAATTGTTTGGGTGGATATGTCCCTACGACAGATTTCCAAACAATCATTCACAAATAATTTGTCCCTTTGTTTTCTGTGCATTGTAAGTGGTTCTGCGTATGCCAGAGCTGCAATAATAAAGACTAGAAAAAATAGAAGAAATGAAATGTAAATAAAATGGATAAATGTTATATATCAAAGCTAATGTGGATATTAGAATGCACTATCGAATAATAAAACCAGCGATACAGCGACGTTAGTCCTCCGACGAGTGGTCACATATTCGATGTTAAACGATATAGCGTCTTTGGGCTGATGTCTTGGAAGAAGGCCTTACATTATATTTAAACAATGACATGACTGATGTTTCAGACAAAACTGGTTATTCATGCCAGAGTTTTTCAAAGAAAACAATACCTTACCTTTAGATATTGGACAATATGCAACTGCAGAAATCCCAAGCATTTCGAATGATTTAAGATATGATCTTTAGAAGCATCCATGGAAACCTGACGAGAATTATAAACTTCGATTTGTGTTACCATTGGTTTCAAGAGTTTTCCTGGCTTTCTTATTCTGATTTGAAAAAAGGAGCATTCTGTAGGTTTTGTGTACTTTATCCATCAAGTGGCTTAGTCGGAGTATTAGTTATATCACCTTTAAATCGTTATAAATCAGCTTTAGATCAATGTCGCTGTCATCAAGCGACATCTTTTCATGAAAGGCTATAGAAAAATCAGAAATGTTTTTGAGTTTGATTAAAAATAAAACTAATGTTTTAGTTATCAAACTCCGCTCTTTCCACAAAAATAGAGCAAAATATAAAATTGCTTAACACTATTATTGAAACTATTAAACTTTGTGGAAGACAAAATTTTGCTTTGCGTGGACACCGGGATGACGGTGTATTAGATCTCAAATCTGATAACAATCAGGTGAATTTCAGAGTGCTTTTAAAATACAGTATTGAATGTACAAGATCCACTACTGAATGTATATGTATTATACATATACATTCAGTGGCGGATCTTGGGGTAAGGCCGGAGAGACCACCACCCTGTTGTGAGCAGTATATTTATTAAAAGAACTCAGCTTTTGCATAAAAAACACCATTTTAAATAAAAAAAGGTTGCCAGCCTAATTTTGGCCACGCTACCACAAATCTTGGTCCCTTGTCCAAATTTGAAAAAATTAAACTTTTAAACATTTTCACAATTTTGGCCCCCCCATCAAAGTTATCTAGATCCTCCACTGACATTCTCTTTATTCTTTACATACCGGTCCACTGTTCATATTGAACTAATTTATTTTACGTTTATCATAATTTATTTTATTGATTTTAATTCGTACCGTACCGAACTAAATCTCAATATTAATTGATTAATTTGTTTCGATATTTTAATATTAGGTTACTGGTTTTTCTTATGCTTTTAATTTTTAAACCATAAACGGATTTTCTACGTAGATAATGTTTACCTAATTTATCTAGTTATGTTATTCTTAATAAGTTTAATACACATAATATGCATTTTAATTTAATTTATGTTATTTTCATTTGCAAAGGCTCTGACGATGGACTATCTGAAACAGCGCTGTTAGCATCACCATGACTACTGTTTTAAATAAATATAAAATCAATAAATTAAGATGTGTTGAGTGTTTAATAAAAAAAGACTATTTTGAAAAATGGGCATTTATCTTTAATGATGTTTGCACATATGACTTTTATCAACTTATATTTTATTTATTTATTTATTTATTTCAAAACATTTGTACAACGCAAATTAAATAAAAAAAACATCAACTTCAGATAAGCATATTACCAGTCTGAGAACCTCCTGCTGAAAAAACTCTGGTTTACTAGTCAACATATCCTCAACATATTCATGACACTTAAAACCGACCTGTACAGCGTAAACAGGATCGGTCCCAGTACTGAACCCTGCGGCACACCATATGAAATTGAACCGATACTGGATGAAACATCACCAAATCGAACCTTCTGTGTTCGTCCCACCAAATATGATTTAAACTATTCAATTGCTGCTCCAGTTATACCAAAATCATTACTTAGTCTCTAAAATTTGATGATCCACGCAATCAAATGCAACGCTCAATACCAAAAAGATCAAAAGCGATACATTCTGCCGATCGATGGAGGAATAGAGTTCAGACAAAATCTTCAACAACGCAGTTTTAGTGCTGTGATAACGTCTATAGCCAGATTGATTGATGAGCATCAGATCGTGCAACTCCAAATGTGTTAAAAGTTGCTTTGCCACAACACGTTCAACAATCTTTGAGAGGAAAAAGAGATTTGATATTGGACGATTATTTTTCAAATCTTCTTTGTTGGCCTTAGTATTTTTCAAAAGAGGAGTCACAACCGCATGTTTACAGTATAGCGGAAAAATGCCAGATTTTAAACTTGCATTAATAAAACTTGTGATAAACGTAATGAACAAATTAACATATTTTATCAAAATGTGCGTCGGAATAATATCTAACATGCATGTTTTTGTTGGTGACTTAAGTAGAAGTGTTTTAACCTCAGACTCTGAAACTTCAGCAAAACATGAGAACAAATTACTTCCATTAATCCTACTGATTTCATATGCCCGCCTCTTCGATTCTTTTATGGATATTTTTATTGCATTAATTTTCTCATGAAAAAAACCAAAAATTGATGTCCATTTATTATCTTTACATGCGATTTTGTCAAATATTATCCACAGATTTTTAGAATTGTTATTATCGTTTATTAATTTGTTCCAATACTGTTCACGTTTTTTAGGCAAGATTTCTTTTTTTTTCCTTAAAGTATTACGCCATTCTTATATATCAAATCATAATTTAATCTATAACGTCTTTCCAACTTTCGACAACGCCGTTTGATTGTTCGACACTCTTCATCAAACCATGCTGCTGATAATCAACTATTAAACTAATTTTATGTGAAGGAGCGACCTGATCAATTTTATTTATACTTTCATTTGGTATAAATTTTAAAGCAAATTTTAAAGCAAACAATGATTATAAAGCAAACAATGGTTATTTTTTCTGCATACGCACCACAGACAGGCGAATCAGAAGAGATAAAAAATGACTTCTGGGCTGCGTTCTCTGACATCATCTCAACAATACCAAAATCTAAAACAATCCTAATTGGAGGCGATCTCAATGGCCACGTTGTAAAGAAAACAGATGGTTTTGACAACGTACATGGCGGTTTTGGCTATGGAGAACGGAATGAAGATGTATCAACCGCATCCTTAAGTTTGCTGAAAGTTACGGGTTTTGTTTACTTAACACATATTTTAGAATGAGGTTGGAACATCTCATAACATATAAAAGTGGACCATCAGCCACGCAAATTGGTTTTTTCGCTGTCAAGCAACAACACTATTCAAAAAATGTCAAAGTTATACCTGGCGAATCATGTGTCGCCCAACATAGACTCCTTGTGGCAGACCTGGTTGTCGAACTGTCAAAACATAAGTCTAAACAAATGCCTCGGAAAATCAAAACGTGGAAGCTGGAAAGCAATATTCATCGAGAAAAATTTCAACAGATTGTCGCAACACAGTTAGACCACAAATCGCAAGCCAGTACAGATTGGAGTACATACAAAACCGTTTTGATAAACGCTGCAACTACAGTTTGTGGGAAAACTGCTACAAAACGTCAGCATGAACGGGACACTTGGTGGTGGAATGACAGTGTACAAAATGCAATAGCTGAAAAGAAAGCTGCATACAAGCAATGGCAAAAAAATATGTTGATGACCATAAAATTTTTCGTGAGAAGAACAACTATGCAAGACGTCAAGTCGCACTGGCTCGGACAGATCAGTGCATAGAATGGCTCACTAAAAGCAAAGGTAAACAAATGAAATCTCTGTATCGTATAGCAAAACAAGCAAAGCGTACAAAAAAAGACATAGTTGGTGCCTCATGTATCAAAAACGACAAAAATGAGATGGTTCTTGAACAAGATGATATCAAGCTACAGTGGAGACAATACTTTATCCGTCTGTTAAATGAAACAAATCCCATCAATGTCAACTTTGACGCTCCACCCATCAAAGGTCCGATTCCAGACATCACTGTAGAGGAGCTTACAGAAGCTCTAAAAGCTATGAAGGATGGAAAGGCAGCAGGGCCCTCTGGATTCACAAATGACATTATCAAAACATCTGGTACTGCAGGTATCCAAACGATGCAGGTATACAACTTTGCCGTGAAGTCTGGAAAAATTGCTCAATGCCGACTGAATGGAACTATAGCATGACAGTTCCGCTATACAAAGGCAAAGGTGATCCATTGAACTGTTCATCATATCGGTGTATAGGTCTGTTAGAACACTTCCTGAAAATTGTCGAGAAAATCATTGAGAGAAGATTAACGTCGTGCATCACAATCGGAAATTATTAATTTTGTTTCCTGCGGGGAAATCAACAATTGATGCATATCACATCCATCGGCAACTGCAAGAGAAGTACCTCGCAAAGCATCAACAACTATTACACATTCTTGTAGACCTTGAAAAAGCATTTGATCGAGTTCCCCGTGAAGCAATCAGTTAGAGTCTACGTCGACAACTCATTCCATAATATTTTGTTCGACTTGTGATAGAAATGTATACGAATACTAAGACTCTCGTCAGCACAACGGTTGGAAACACAGATGCATTTGACATCGGCGTTGGAGTTCACCAAGGCTCGATTCTCAGTCCACTGTTATTTATAACTGTGATGGAAGAAATCACAAAACCGATATTCACTGGTGACATTTGAAATCTAATATATGCTGATGATATCGTTTTAACAGCCACGTCTGACAGAATGCAGCACAGATGTTTGAAGATTGACCAGACTCGCCATCACGGATTCATAGTCAACATCAGCAAAACCAAAGCAATGAACACTGGTGAACCCATCCAATCCACAGCTACTGGACGATGGCCCTGTTCAGTTTGTAAAGCTGGTGTAGGTAACAATTCAATCAAGTGTCAGCAGTGTAACCAGTGGTGTCACAAACGTTGTTCAAAAATAATAGGTACTTTATCTAAAGTGTCCAATTTTGTTTGTCAATCAATCAATAGCAACAAATTCAAAATAATAATGTTTTTGAAGTCACATTGTTTCAATATCTAGGGGATGTTCTAGATTGTACTGGAACAGCCGAAGCTGCCGTTCAAACACGCATACGTGCAGCCTGAAATAAATGGCATCTCCTTGCCTGTATATTAATCGGCGTGACATCCAACTACTACCACGCTCAAGACTTTATAAATCTGTGATACGTTCGTTGTTGTTATATGGTGCAGAAACATGGCCAATGATAACCAAACTGTAACAACAACTTAAACGAACCGATATGAAAATGCTCCGATGGATGCAACGAATTAGTCTGAAGGACCACATCAAATCTCATAATTAGGTGAGGAGCGTCTACTGGGGTGGTTGCTTTTTTCACAGGTTGATAAAACTACTACTGGTATTGCTGACGATGAATTAGTGCTAGGGCTGGGGGTGTTGATGTTTAAGTTGTTGTAGATTGCTGTAGTGATTGAGGAAGATGTCCCGGGGGTGTTGATGTTGTTGTAGAGTTCTGTTGCAATTAAAGAAAAGAGGAGAAGTGTTGAAGTTGGTGATGATCTAGGTTCCAAATTTTGTTGAAAAAAAGAGTTTTTCTTAGCGGTCTTTTGAT